AGAAGTATTTTTATATAAGTTTGCTAATATTTATAAAAATAATTATTTAAAAATATATATTTAATAAATAAATAACTTATTATATTTAGATTTATCAATAAATTAACTATTTTAAATTTCTAAATAATTTTATTTTTTATAGTTATAATACTTTATATAAATAAAGATAAAGCTAAAAATGATATAAAATTAAATAATCTTGAAATAAAGGTATATAAGTAATTATTTTTCAGTATACAATTTATTAAAAAATAAGAAATTATAAATATCATAGGTGTTAGAATAAAATAATAATTATAAAAATAAAATAAAGTTTTTTATAAAAAAATTATTATTCAAATTCTTTTATTTAGATTATTTAATAAGTTAAAGTTATTGATTTTTTAATTAATAGATATAACATTATTTAAATTTAACTTTTTATAATATTTTATATTATATAATAATATGATATAATCTTATTTCAACTAATTTTGCTTTTTAAAATCATATTAGTTTTGATTATTTAACTATTTTAAATATCTGAAATTAATTTGTTTATAATTTATCAAAACTGAATTATTTAAATTTATTTTACTTGAAGTAGGATTTTCTAATAATTTTAACAGATTTAATATATAGATTAATTATATTTAATGAGTTATTATAATTGGTAAAAGAATAATTTATATTTAATTAATAGATTTTATGATAATTAAAATTAACATATACTTAAATATAAATAAAAAAAATTTGAACCAATAATTATAAATTACAAAAAAAAATACAAACATAAATACGGTTAAAAATAAAAGTCGATAATGCAATAATGCAATAATGCTAATAATGGTGATAGATATAAATGCTTTAAAAGATACTTATTTTGCTGTTACTCCGGAATTTAAGCCACAAAATTTATATATTTTTAAAAAAAAAGGTTCGCAAGATATTCACCAAAATCTCTTGGTCAACTAATTTGATTATTTTGGATCAAGGATGCTAACGCGCTATGTCATTATTTCCCCAAAGCCATTTCTATGCATGTCTTAATTTGCATTGTTTTAAATAGAAAACGTGGTATATTCTTAACTGTTGAGCTATTATCCTGGTGTAACATACCACGAAACACTCTTTATCCTTAATTCTGAACGAGATTTTTTTTAATTCGTAAATTCTTCCTTTATGTAATGCGCCATTTTACCAACTAAGTCGTTTATTCTCAAAAAAAAAAAATTTGAAATTAAGGTTCGGATTCTTGTGATACATAGCGTCATAGAAATATTTCAGATATAAATAGGAATTCAAAGGAATTATAGATACGGGTCCGTGAATTTTCGTAAACGGGCTTGGAAGTTAATCAGTTCACGTGATTTTAAACACACACATTCTAAACTTTCTAAAAAAGGATAGATTTAAACATAAACTTGCCTAAACTCTTGTGATCCGTGAATATATCAAGTCCTGAGACAATCCTGAGTCCTTTGGTTATTTATGACGAATTTAGTGTTATAATACCATCATACAAAAAGTATTAGGACGTACTATAAGAAAATTTTTCTCAAAAATAAATTAAAAAAAAAAAAAATCTTTTTTTTTTTATTTTTTTAAACTTTTTCTCGAGTTTATTAAGTTCACTGGAAAGGCTCACTGCGTGCTTTTTTTTTGTAGAAGACCAAAGAATAAAAAAAAAAAAAAAAAAAAATTTTTTTTTTTAACTTCATGGTGAGCTTTCCTTTTTTTTTTTTTTTTTTTTTTTTTTTTTTTTATACCTAACAAAAAAAAGTTTAAAAAATATTTAAGAATTATAAACATTAAAAAAGTATCTAAAGAATCTTTTAATATTCTCATTTTTTTATAAATAAATATCATATTATATATATAGTATAACAATAGCCCTCAACAACAAGAACCCTTTTCCGCTATCTTACGACCTGCATTGCCACCTCCAAATTATATCAATGCATATCAACCAGACGTAAGTCATAATCGAAGCAATAGTACTAACTCCACCAACAGTGCACTGCAAAATATATTACCTCCTATACTTCCAAGAATTGCACCTGCGGGTCCATTGCCCTTACCAGCAACTCCTCAATCTAGACCTCGTCCTTCTAGACCAAAATATAAAATTAAAACTGATAAAACAGCATGGACTGCGGATGAAGATAATTTACTTCGTCTTGCCGTTCAACTTTATGGTGATAGGTCAGAAAGATGGACGAAAATTGCTGCCTGCGTTCCTGGTAGAACAAATAAAATGTGCAGAAAACGTTGGTTTCATTCACTTGATCCAAATCTACGTAAAGGTCCATGGACTGAAGAGGAAGATGAACTTTTAAGAAAGGCTGTTGAAAAACATAATAGAGTATGGTGTAAAGTTGCTGAATTTATCCCAGGTCGTACCGATGATCAATGCGCTAAAAGATGGAAAGAATGTTTAGATCCTGACATTGATCATACGGAATGGTCAACTACCGAAGATAATTTATTAATTGCAAAATTCGAGGAATTTGGAAGTCAATGGCAACAGATTGCCCAATTCTTTCCAGGACGTCCAGGATTACATTGTCGAAATAGGTGGAGAAAAATTCAAAGGCTCAAGAAAGCACACAAAGATCCTTCAATGGATATGGTTATCAATATCATAACTCCTAATGATATAACTACACCAAGTTCTTCTTCTTCGCCTCATACTTCAACCTCTTCTCTATCGACGTCATTACATTCAACACCTCAAAATATGCATTCAACCATGCAACAAAATATGCAGCAAAATCTACAACAAAGTTTACAATCGAATACACAGTTCAATTTATCAACGAATAACTTGCAATCGAACGTACAACAATCAAATACACAACCGCATGTACAATCGCGCTCGTCTCCCATCATGTCACGTCAGAATGTAAATTTGCAACAATCACACGTTCATTCGAACTTGCAACAGCAACAACAACATTTGCAATCACATTTATTGGACAACAATCCACCTTCAAATCTACAGTCGGATTCGGATTTACATTCCCATATGACATCAAACCTACAAGCCAATTTGAGTCCGAAATATTACATTCCTAATTATTCATCAAATTCTAATCTTAATGTTCCCACAACCGATATGCATTCGAATATGTTGTCGAATTTGTCAACGAATTTACCGTCAAATCTAACAACCAACCCCACGTCATCAATTTCATCATCAATTGCTCCAACCATTGAAAATGATATAACATCTGATACCATTTCACACTTACCATCAACATCTTCAAACGGTCCTAGCATCGCATCTTTATTATCATCACCAGGTTCTTCAAATAATCAAATGAATTTAGACATTCCAACAGATCAAGAAAGTTCTCAACAACCTTCACAAGGAACTGAAGCCGAGATGAATGTTAAAGCTTACGGTTGTGGGGTATCAGGATGTGAACTTACTTTTACGAACGCTAATGGATTATATTATCACATGAAGGCGGCACATCCTTCAGTGATTGGTTCCGATAAACCATATCGATGCGCTTGGGTTGGATGTGCTAAAAAATACAAGAATATCAATGGACTTTCATATCATCTTGATACTGCCAAAGGATCATCAGGGCATAAATATGATACGGAAGAGGGAATTAATGAAGTTGTAGACAAACCCTACAAATGTCCTGTTGCAGGTTGCAAAAATCGTTACCTCACGGCAAATGGGTTGCAGTATCATGAAAGAAGTATTCATGGAAAGGATCCCGATAAATATCGTGGACCTCACAAAGCAAATTCGAAGAATAATCAAGGGTTGCAAATAAATCAACGGTTTAATGATTCAAACCCACAAACATCTTCAAATATGGAAATCGATAATAATGCTACTAGTGCACAGCAGCAATGGATGAGTAACGATGCCTTTAGATCCTCCAATTTGCACGAGACAAATCCGAATGATCAAAATCAAGCGTTACCAATGTTTAATGACAATCCCATTGATGTTACAAATATGCTTGACATTAGCTCATCTCAATTTAATGATCCTCAAAACCAAAATGGACAAAATATATCTATAAACACACTATTATCTATTTCTTCTACGACTCCTAAATATAAATGTTGTCATAAGGGATGTAAACTAGTCTTTACTTCAACAAATGATCTTGATAGACATACCAACAATGATCATAATGTTCATCCAAATTCACATCCTTCTAATATGCGTCAATTTAACGGGAAACCGGTAAAAAGATGACTCTTTCTCGTTCGGAATGATTTCTATTTGTAAATTTTTGCAAGTCAAAAGAATTTGTAATATAAATTATAAATGTTTGCTAATTATAGAAAGAGACAAAGATGGAAAACAATTGTTCGTTTTATTGTAAGTTATGTTTATATTTGTATATAATTCTTTCGATTTCCCCTCCCTTCTTTTTTATTTTTAGCTGGAGGTAACTTAAGTGTATACTGTGGATTTATACTAGATATAAATAACCCTTAAAAGAAGAATAAAGCAGTTAAAAAGATTCTTTACGTAATCAAGGAGAAAATGAAAGCTTAATTATTATCGTCATAAACCTGAATTGTAATCTTGACATTATTTATTAATTTTTATTCGACAAATTTTTTTTTTTTTTATTTATTTCTTTTTGTTTTATGACGATAACATTTAAAAATTTAAAGATTTATTGTAATAATAAAATGTCAAAAAACATTAATCTCAATAAAAAAGCAAAAATAAATTTTTTTATATAATTTTTTTCTCTGTCATTGATAACCAACACGAGAGCTGATGATGATAAATGCGTTGAATGACATCTCATTTGATGTGAGAAATATTAACCTAGTGGAATGAACCATTGAATTAGTACATGATAGATTTAAAAAATAAAAAATAAAAATAAATTATAAGTTTGGATCAGCAAATTATGATTCAACAATATCATTGTTCAGTCAATGTAGATAAGGTAAATAATTTTATAGTCATCCCATCCAAAATAGTATTTAAAGTAAAAGAATTTCCCACTTAAGAATAAGTTAATCAAAAACTAACCTTTCTTCTTGGATACACCAACAGTTCTACCACGTCTACCAGTAGTTTTAGTATGTTGACCTCGCACTCTAAGACCCCAATAATGTCTTAAACCACGATGAGCTCTAATCTTTTTCAATCTTTCTAAATCTTCACGTAATTTAGATTCTAATCCATTGGCAAGAATCTGAGAATACTTTCCGTCAACTATATCTTTTTGTCTATTTAAGAACCAGTTTGGAATCTTAAATTGTGTTGGATTTTGAATGATCGTTACGATCCTTTCTAATTCTTCATTAGTTAATTCACCAGCTCTTTGAATTTTTTTCAAAAAAGAAAGATTTCTTTATTAGCATTTTAATTTATTTTAAATTTTAAAGGGCTTGCAAATGGAAAAAAAAAAAAAAAATTGGATACCGTTTGCGTAAATCGACGTCTGCTTTTTTGCATACAATATTAGAATATCTACGACCAACACCTTTGATGGCCGTCAAGGCGAACATTACTTTGGTTTTACCCCTAAAAAACAAAAAAAAAAAAAAAAATAAATAAATAAACAATTGAAAGAAAAAGGAAGAAAAGGAAAAAGGATTAAAAATTTTTTTCTCCAAAATAATTAAATTCGATACTTACTCAACATTGGTGTTCAATAAACGAAGAATATGTTGGAACTGGTTCTTATCAGGTACGACGAGAGACTAAGAAAATGATAATATATTTATATCTATTTAACTATAAATTTCGATATCTATCGATCCATACATCAATCCTTTAATTTTGTCCAATCAATCTTTAAAAATAAAAATTCACATCCAATCCTTTCATAAATCCATCCCTCAAAAAAAAAAAAAAAATCTCCAAAGACCAATTTTTTTTTTTTTAAAAAAAAAAAATACGGCTTTTCATAAATAAAAAAGACTCACCATTATAAAAAAGTTTCTTCTCGACAATAAATAAAAGAGAACGAATCAAAAAAAAAATGATTGCAATTTAAAAAAAAAAATAAAAATAATGATACCAATCTAGTAATGATCAACAAACGAAATGATGATCTTTAAATTATCCGCAGCCGCTACCGCAGATTTCACGGAAAATCCATGAGAAAGAGAATTCATTTTTGACGATTAGAAAATTTCAAGTGTTGTGATCTTAAGAATCTGGAAAGTGACGAGAATCCAATTTTTTTGGTGTCATGCAATATATAAAAGTAATGGTTAATCGTCTACTTTGCCAAAAGGTTAAGACGTTAACTTGGTTTGTCAACAGATAAATCGTTTATTAAATGTGCATTACGTAAAACTCGTGAATTAAAAAATCTTTCCTTTAGCATTTATTACATAACCTATCTAAAAAAGATGAAGTAAAATGAAAACAAACATTACGAAATTTGAAACAAATTTATTTTTTTCTCGCGTGAGAAATGACAGCTATTGATCATCAATGACATAATATCGATCCAATAATATTATAGAACATTCACAGAATCCACGAAAAAGTTAACTCACCACGTGGAGACGAACTTTTATTTTTCTGCGGGCGTATACGGCACCTAAAAATTCTTCCTTATGAAAAACAGATTGTAAATGACATATCTTTTACTGACATAAAGGTTTTTCGTTGCATGTAATTTACATCATCTAAACATTGACGAAATCTCTTGTAATCATGACATTTCTTTCTTTCCGGTGCTAAAATGCTAAATCATAATTTCGTAATGATCTAAATTATCGTCTCGAAATTAAGTTTGATAGGCTTTTCAGCCAATTCTCTTAAACAATGTATTTGTTAAAAAAGTTATATAAAAAAAATTTATATAAAAAGATGGACATTCCTCCCAACTTTCTTCTCAACAAAGAATTATTGTATTAACACGTTTAAATAAACAAAAAAAACAAAATTTATCGATTAACACGTTTAATAAACAAAACAAACAAAACAAAACAAAACCTCGTATTTATCCGACTTTCATCTACAATGGGTGATGCTCCTGAATCTCAAGCTCAACCCGTGAGAGCCGATACGGAAGAACAACGTTCTGAACGTTCCTACAAAGCCGCAGCCCATAACCCGAGCAATACTGCAGAAGGACGGTAAATAAATAAATTCAGATTTTATATAATGATAATAATTCCTTTTTGGTGAATTTGGTGGCATTTTTTCCCACATTAATATACGTGTTCAAATTTTTTCAAGTGAACATGCGGCCGAGAAATTGGCAGAATTACACGAACAACGTACCGGAGAATCCTTGGATCCTAAAAAAGAAGCAGAAATTGGTGAAAAGAAAGCTGCACAGAGATAAAATAATTGTTTAACATAAAACAAAATTAAAATAATCGTATAAAATTTTTTTTTTTCAAAATTTATTTTCCCTTTCCTCTTTTTTTTTTTTCAAATCTCAATTTTTATTTTAGTCTTATGAAATTTATTGTTGGATCTTTCATGATAAATAAATCCTTAATGAACATTCAATAAAAAATTTTGTCGAATCATTAGTTCTCCTAATTCACGTGGTTTATCACATTGTGTAAATTCATTAGTTAATGTTATTATATGCACTTAATCTATGCAACTTGTTCATGTTTCCATAAATGATTAACAATAAAAATTTGTAATTGCCGATCAAAAACCCCAAATTCTTTTTTTTTGAAAACTTATTTGTCTTGTTACTCTAATCGTTAAATGACATTCTCTAATTTGTACTAGTCTTTCCAAAAATGGGATAAAACAGATCAGGAAAATTATCCGAGGTCAAAGAAAAGGTTTATTTTATTTGGTGAAAAGTTGTTTCAATCTCTGCGCGATGTGGTCCAATTAAAACTTTAAAATGATTGTGGTGCGATTAAATTTAACCTTTTTTTTTGTTTTTTTGGACTTTTCTATATTTACCTTCCCAGATCACATTATTACGCGTGGAATCCATAAATGTGTAAAACTATCGACATAATGCACATGTGATGTGTGTACATTATGTAAATGTTTGTCACACGGAGATAATTAGCTTGATTGATTAATTAATAAATTGATCGGGGATGTGGGATGTAAAACAATTGAGGGAAACAAAAGGTCGATTTTACAATGATCCTAGTAGGAATATAATAATTTCCAAAATTGGACTTCAAAAGTTATTATTGTAAAGATATCTCGAATGGAAGAGGTTAACAAGGGGGATTAAATAATTATTCGTAATTAAAAATACGTTAATTACAATAAATAAACAATAATCGAAATAAAGTTTTATTGAGAATAATTAATTACCTGTCAACATTTTAAAATTGCTATGTTGCCATCTTTCTACAATGTAGACTTTTTATTATATTATACGTTCAGAAATTATTATTTTTTTTTATATATAAGGTTGAGATATTGCCATGAATCAACTTCGTATTCCACCATTTAAACGGAAAATCTTTCTGTTACTTAACTTCCTTTTCTTCCTTTCTTTCCTCCTTCCTTAATTACATAAATCATCGTTGACCACCTTCCCTTTTCCAACAATAATATTATTGAAACGATCAAAATAAAATTCGAGAATGCATCTTAAAAACTTTTTCCTGTTGAGTGTTCTCTTGACAACCGGAGTGGTTGGTCCATTTCTAGCTGACGCCTCTACCTCAATTTCTGCTCACGAATCTAATGATGTTTATCCACGTTTTTCTGATGATGGCATTTCTGGAAAAACTGAACTCGAACCGCGTTATTTTAGTGAGTCGTCCCAACTACGCAAACTTCATCGTGGCGACCACAAGCGGGACCTTGTAGAACGCTATCACAGGGAGTCGTCTAATCGACGCAAATATAATCGTGCCGGCGACAAGCGGGACCTTGTAGAACGCTATCACAGGGAGTCGTCTAGTCTACGCAAATATAATCGTGGCGACAAGCGGGACCTTGCAGAACGCTATCACAGGGAGTCGTCTAGTCTACGCAAATATAATCGTGGCGACAAGCGGGACCTTGCAGAACGCTATC